ATTCAGTCCAGTCCAGTCCTGCCCGGTACCACTGTCGGTACCAGTCCAGTCCAGTCCAGTCCAGTCAGTCCGCTGGGGGTATACCCCAGCTGCAGTCTGTTTTGTGGCTCATTCTTCATTTGCACAGATTGGAGTATGTGCGTGTTGAGTCTGCGTTGGAGCTGCGCTGTCCCTTCCAGCTCCATCTCCATCTCCCCCATCCTCATCCCTTCGTCTTGATCCTGACGGACCGCCATCCCGGCGGGTCCATCACAATGGCTCTTTGCCTGTACAACAGAGAACTAGCCTTATGGAAGCCAACACGAAAGGATAGTATTGGCGTGAGGATGGGGTAGGAGGTGGTCTCATATTCCAGGACACCCACGGCCTACCGCTCCAGGTGATAAGTGTGTACTCAGTGACTGGCCTCCACAACATTGCGATACACCTGGATGCTGGACTTGAGTTTCAGCAAGATACATTTTCTTCATTGTACAGGGACGCTGGACCCGATTTCCAGCAGGTGCAGCTCCCCACCAATAGATGGAGCCTTCGACGCTGAGGCCTACTTACCGGGGATGCTCCTATCACCTCGTTAAGTAGGTTCTCCGCATATGAAGTTTCTTGAAAAAAAAAAAAAAAAAAAAAAAAACCATAGGAATTCCTCTGAGCTCCAAATAGCCCTGTCACCTCACAAAGAGTCCAAAAGCTTTTTCTTTCGTTTTTCCCCTACTTTAGGGCATACTCACACTAGCACGCTTTTTCATAAAATCATAAATTTCAGGTGATTTTTTGGGTCAGAAGGGCTGCTCATGCAAATGGGCACGTAAATGTCAGCGACTTGGACAGCCATTTCGCGGGGACCTCTGGAGGTTCCCGCAATTGCGGGTTTTAGACCTGTTTCTTTCTGGAAACAAAAGAAAAGAATTCTACGTTTGGTGGGCAGCTCTGGCAAGAGAAGAAAAAAAAAACAGAAAAAAGGGATGGATTTTTGTGCCTCGTGCTGTGTGACCCCTGGGCCCGTATAATAGCATTCCTAGAGCAGGTCGAGACTGTGTCCTTTGTGTTTTGTGACGTATACGAGTGTGCTGTGTGACTGGGAAGTGCAGCATAATCGCAAATTGGCTCACATGTAATTTGCGAAGATACGTGCTAGTGTGAGTATGCCCTTAGATTGAAGCACACCAAAGGGTTTATTACCTCTAGATAAGGAGAGACAGTAGTATGTTTTTCTTTACAGTAGTATGTTTTTCTTTTCTTTTCGTTTCTTTTTCTGAGATGGCTCAAATCTATTCGTGGGGAGCAGCAGTATTCCTATGTCCAAGGATCACATTCATTCATCCACCACGTCTGAATTGCGTACTGACACTCCACTTTTCCGACTCATCTAGTGTAATTGCAGTCCGATACATCAAGCGCCATCCACGCCTGCAGTCAAATGCATTGAGGAAAGTCCTAGTGTGAGGGAATACTCACCCTGACACTTCCCTGAATGTATTCCACCACAATTAGGGTCAGGGATCGATGAATCTGACCACAATTAGGTCCACAGCTTAGTAAAAAAGGTCCTTTTGTGAGTATGCCCTGACTCTGCCGTCAGATCACCAGCAACTTCCCACCATTTCCCCAGCACCATGTGCAGGTTGAGAAGAAAACGAAAAAAGAAAAGAAGAGTGGACACTGTATGTACCTGTAAGGATGCAGCTTCCCAAATCTGTTTTTTTTTTTTTTTTTTTTTTTTTTTTCTGCACTGTATGTACGTGTAAGGGTGCAGCTTCCCACAATTGCCCCACATGTACGTGTATGGATGCCATTAGTTGGTGGTCTGCTCCCTGCTTCGTTTGTTTTCTTTTGTTTGTTGGGCCTGCCCACCGCTTCTTCTCCTCCTCTTCATGCTTTGTTTTTCACTTTTTTTGTCTCTGTCAGCATGCCATGTTGCTTGCCCCTGTGGCCACCAGCATACACCACTAACAGTGAGACCCGCTTGATCCCCCGCCCTGTCTCTACTCAGGCTCTCAGGCCCTCCTCCCCCCCAAAAAGGCAGAAAGGCTCATTCCAGTAAGCACACCTGTTTTGCATTCAAGTGATCAAGCTGAGAAGGAGAATATCTCAAAGGCCAATCTTCAGATGAGATGTTCCCATCATGAACCACCCATTTGACAGATCCCCTGGGTGATCTATTTTGAAATTCTGCATACCAAATGCCAACTCAGCGCACCTTTAAACCACCAGTACTTGGCCCATATATTGGCAGCGGGCCCCTCACATTAACGCGCCATGACTTTCGGGGACCGGCCAGAAGTTGATAAATGCTTTCTTTTTTCCATTTTTGTTTCTAAAAACCTGTCCACTTGGGTGCTAGGAGGTCTGATAAGAGCAGGTGCTCCTAGTACCCTCGGGGGGGGCTCCATCTATTGGTGGGCAGCATCACCTCCTGGAAAACAGGCCAGGAGTCCCATGCAAGAAAATCATGGCAATGTTGGAATGTGTAGGAATACGGCTGGCCAGCATTGATTGCTGTGGACACCCAGGGGATTAACTGCACAGGCAGTTGTGAGGGAGGGCTAGTATGGCACCTCCAGGGGCCAACCAGGGCTCATACATTCCTCCCAAACCAACTCAGTTCCACTAAGGCCTGATCTTGTACGGGGAAGAGGTTGGGGAACTCCTCAGGCTACTTCATCAGTATAGTCGAGTCAACCTCTGTCCAATCCCGAAAGCGTAATCCGTAGTCCTTTGGAACAGGGCTCCGTCCCCTGGTCTGACCAACCTGCCCACTCCACTGTAGCTACCATCCTCCCCTTTACCCCCCCAGCCAATCATTGCAAAATTCGGTAATTATTTTGGTGAGGTCCGCTCACTATGTCAGTCATTTAAGGCTCGTTCTAAGCTTTTCCCAACGCGCTCTAATTTCTGCTTCTATCTGATTCAGGTCACGGATCATTTCCCTCGTTTCCCTGCCCCTTACCTGTGCCCCCTCTATGGTCCGTGCACATCGCCTCCACCATAGAGCCCACTTGATCGTTTTACGACCCAGTTCAAGCAGGTTACTAGTGAAAGAGCTTTTTAGAGCAGGCCAGTGGCCACACAGCGAGGTCTTCCACTCCCATGGCCAGTTCTGACCAGTGCCCAAGTGGCGCCAGATCCGTTCCCACAACCTCCACCTGAGAACGGCCCCTGGGCACTGCAGGAAGACGTGTTCAATGGTTTCGTTTATTTTCCATGACGGGAAGGCCTCAACACATGCCCTGCACCACGGCAAGGCAATCCCCTTTTGTTTGAGATCGGAGTGGTCGCTCAGCCAGGCATTAGTAGAAAGGCAGAGGTGCGCAATATGCCATTGCAAAGATGTGAACTTTGCCAGCCTGGCCTTTGCGTATTGGAGCTGATCGGTCTGAGAGTTTCCCTTACCACGTTTAGTGTCTGTGCCAGTGGTCTCGCACAGTCTCCGGCAGGTTTACTCGTACCCTTAGCGATCCATAGGTGTAGCGGACCCACCAGGTGTGGTGCTCCGCTAGTGACGGAGATGGAGATGGAGGAAGAAGACGGAGCAAGATGGCACAACGCAGCTCCCCACGCAAGACTCCAACACACGTACTCCAAAATGTGCAAGTGAGGAATGAGACTGAAAACAGACAATGGCTGGGGTATACCCCAGCGGACTGACGGGACTGGACTGGACTGGCTGGTACCGACAG